TCTGGTAGAATCACAGAGCGCTATCTCGCAGGTGCAATTGTAGAAAATTCGCTTGCTGAGCATTTGCGATTCCCGCAACTCCAACGTATCCTTGGAAGAGCTGTTCGAATTGGGCGAAATCTTCGTTATCGCTTCCGCCAAATGGTTTGACTGAGATTTGAGCGTGCGCCATCTTATTACAGTTATATGATTGTCAAGTCTGATTCAAAAATGATTTCAGATGAATCAGTCGCTATTTTACAGTGGAAATAATTAATGCCTAGTGGATACTTAAATTTTAAGGACGTAATTATCGTCTCTGAGAAAATATATAGATAGCTCGTACTATGATTAGTTACGAGAAGGAGTTAATTAACTCTTGTTTCTATATTTTAAACTCTCTACTTTTTAAATTAACGTTTCTTGCGGCTTTAATATTATTTCACTATTTTTTTTTTGAAATTTGGTTAGACTTTAAGCACTGGATAGGTTTTCAGGCGGTTCTCATGGATGATTTCATATGACTGGTTTCAAATGAGCACTCATCAATTTTATTTTAAGCACCGAGAGTTTTAAGTTAAAGTTTTAACTAACTGTTTTTGTACTTGTATCACTTTCCTGGAGAAGTATAGTAGTTGTCATCAACACAAAACAGTTGAAGTCTCCTATTGCCCCTTGCTGTCGTCTCTCACTGGCTGTAGTCAGTTTCTGTTTTTGCCCCGCTTTTCTGCTGTTTGAGCCAGTTACTGCCGTGATCTTGTTTCAGCTTGTGGCGTATGGAAGTCGTCTTGTGTTGGATGTCGTCTTGTTTTCACTCTCACTTTGCAATCAGCTTCAGCTTGTCTGGAAAGGTTGGTAACATCATCCCACTCATAGTCGCCATGTTATATAGCGTGTCTTGCTATGATAATTAATGATTGGAAATGAGGAATTGTGTTTGAGAGTAATAAAGGGATGCGCGGTCTAGGCTCAATATCTTCGACTCAGGGATGTGCTTCGTGATGTCTACCCCCTTCTCTAGAGTCTAAGCTGTTTGATTTAGAAGAGTGAGGATTAATCTTTTAATTACTATCTTTGAGCTGTTTCACTGTACTGGCTCTCTCTCAATTAATGATTCAATTACATTCTAATTGATTGTTTGCATTAAGTAAATATGAGTTTAATACTTTGTCATTGACATATAATGGCATTGATATTTAAGTCTGATTCGCACCAATTATGGTAATTAATAATGAGTAACTAACATAGGCGTGAAGCACTATGTGACACTGCAACACGTGATCAAAAATAAGCTAAAGAGAAAACTTGAAACCCATCCGAGTCTAGATTATGGTCAAAAGGTGGCGACCAATTTTGATATTTCCAGACTTTGCAGACCGAGACAAAGTGTCCGTGACCGAAGAGGAAAAATAACCTCAGTAAAGGTCTTCAAGATTGGTCCTCCCGCAACAGGAACCTAGTGAAGAGATTCAAGTGGATTTTAGTGGATCCATTTATAACTTATATAAATCAGTGGTCACAATATTAAACATAGAACGAGTTTCAAAGATATAAAACACTCATATTTATTCTTGTCAAATGCTCATAAAATGATTAAGGTCTACAGTTAAAACTCGAATTAAACATTTATTCTTGTCAAATGCTCATAAAATGATTAAGGTCTACAGGTAAAACTCAAATTAAACGGTTTCAGGGATAGTAACGGGTGAATAAAACATGAATTTGTTTGGCAATGATTGCCAGAATCTTCCGGCATATCTCATTGAAAACTATTAAGAGCACCGATGAAAGATGAATTAACTGTATGTTGAATTAGGGGAATGAATAATCAAAACCTAATCTGAAAAACCCAATAAATTAAAGTCCAAGCTGTCTACAATCGCTAATTCTCGTTTTCTTACTAACGGAGGGATGACTATTATAATCAATCGCTAATTCGCCCTGCCTAAGGATAGGCTAATCGTACCTTTTCGCCAGGTTTGTCTATTTGATTTTAGTTATAGTAATGATCGCCGTTACAAGACCTGATTTTTATATTTGTACTTTGGCCCCCTTTCAAAAAATTTGAACGTAATTCTTCCCCTGTTGGCACTAAGCCTGTATTCAAAGTTGAATTTAGGCATCTCTAACTAATTTGTGCAAATATCAAGTCCAATTCCGCCTCTACGCCAAGTTTTGTTTAACTAACAAAAGTCCCAAGGTTTTCATTTAATTATCCCATTAAAGTTCCGACCTAACAGGGGTAGGGGAAGACACTTTTAATGAGTCGCAAATCATAATTCATTCTACGCGTCTAAAGTTTCGATCTATACTCTATGATCCCGATCTTCTATATATCATGGGAGCGTAATTCGCTTATAAGGGGTCAAATTATCAAAAAAAAAGAAACCTCGAGTTTCTATTAGTAGCTCACTCGCTAAGCTGAGCTGAACCCAATATTTGCCAAGTCCACTTTAATTAGTTCTATTACTTTTACAATGTAAAAGCTATATCTCTTTCAGTTTCTGCTTCATCTAACCACTTAGTTTATCGTCTTATTTCCTAGGCCCCCATAAATTATTCATTTTAAAAATCTCAAGAAACATGATGGGTCAGAAACTTTTCAGATTAAAAATTGTACATAATATATTGTGCATATCAACAAATATGCTCGTTTCAACTTAATTTAGGGTTTAACAATCAAATTTGGGTCAACTTATTTGTCATCAAAATTCAATTTTGGCATTTTTTTAAGTTTTCACCTTAAAATGATGAAGGAGGTTTTTACGAAGTAACAAAACATAAAATATGTATGAAAATATTCTGCGACATCTAACTGAATGGCAAAATCACAACTGTTAAACGATTTGAGAGCTCTAGGTGTCTTATTCTCAAGGGACCTGGTTATTTTCAAGGGACCAATCTATCATAGTAGTACCGAGCAAAGTTTTGCTGAGAGAGAGAGGGATATCCCTTCAAAAACAAGAAAATAAATGAACACTGTCAAATTGCTCAAATGGGTACCCTTAACATCAGAAATTGTTGAGAGACTGTTTAGTCGCGTCAGTTTGGTTTATAATGACTAAAGAAAAGCGCTGTCTCCGGCCATATAAAGTACAAAAGGATATATTTCGCTCCTTGTAACAAATCAATTATGGCAAATAAGCTTCTTTCAACCAATTTGGAACGATTTATGAGACGGATTAAATCTCCGCTTACGCGTTAATAGCGCGAATTATATCGCGCGTTAATTGTCCCAAATTGGTCAAAATGGCAATCTTTAAACCCCCATAACTTTACGACAAATGATCACAGGTGTAATATCTTTTCAAATTTAAGCTCAAGACAGCAATACCTTTTGAATTATATAAGAAAAAAAAATCCGTCAAAAATGGCTAGTTAAAAAGTCGAAATTTGTCTGAAGAAAAAAAAACCCAACCCCAGCACAAATTTTCCGTTACCTTCGTATCGAAAGTCGGAACAATAATTTATTGAAGCTTCTAGGCAATATAAAAAGTATTTGGACCAAGTTAACATCCTCCCCCTAAGCAAGTTTAGGGGGGAGGATGTTAACTTGGTTCTAAGTTGGGAATTTTCAGCCAATCAGAATCGAGCATTTTACATGCAGCGCTTAGCAAATTTAATTTAAATTAAGCCCTGGGGTGGAGGATCTTATTTTAATTTGGTCTATTGGGGGGGGGGGGGGGGTGGGGGTGGGGGTGGGGGTGGGGGTGGGCGGTGGTGGGGGTAGGATGTTAACTTGATCCAAGTATTTAAATAATTTATTTTCTGAAGCTATCAATGACAATTATTGTTCCGACTTTCGATACGAAAGTAACGAAATATTTGTGCTCGGGGTGGGTTTTTTTCTTCAGAGAAATTTTGACTTTTTAATTAGCCATTTTAGACGGAATTTTTTATATCATTCAAAGGTATTGTTGTCTTGGGCTAAGATTCGAAAAGATATTTCACCTGTGATCATTTTTCGTAAAGTTATGGGGGTTTAAAGATCGCCATTTTGACCAATTTGGGACAATTAACGCGCGATATATTTCGCGCTATTAACGCGTTAGCAGCAAAATCAGAATGCAGCAAAATTCGAATTTACATACAACGCTCTTGTGCGAATTTACTGTTTTTATTTACAGGGGTGGAGATTCTTTAATAGATACAATAGGGCTGGGGTGATTGTTAAGTAGATCCTGGTAATTTAATCTGTCTTAGAAATCGTTCCGAATTGGTTGAAAGAAGCTTATTCGCCATAACTGATTTGTTATAATGAGCAAAATCTATTCCTTTGTACCTTATATGGCGTGTGGGGGTCTAGGACAACAAGCCGACGGGACTTCAAGCCGAAGGGACTTCGAGCCGAAATTAAAACTTTACAAGCACCCCAAAACGCTATTTTATCATCTGCGAAATGTTGCTTTTCTAAAATTTTGGCAAGTTTAGTCCATAATAAGCGTTATTCATGACAATGCACCACTTGTGATTCGCATCCGTTAATAACATCAGCCGGTTTTTGAAATGCATAAATTATAAACATGAAAAATGCCTTCAACCATGTTTTACTTTTCAACTTTCCGGAACATCATTTGGAAGCTTATATTATATGCAAACGCCAATAACTAGTGAAGAAAGATCATGAAATTCAGAAACTCTTCAAAAAAGTTTTCAAATTGTTCATATTTCACGACTTTATAAGGAATTATTCGGCTTGAAGTCCCTAATTTTACAATTCGGCTTGAAGTCCCGTCGGCTTGACGTCCGGCACCCGGCGTGTGGGGGGATGATTTCAATAGAAAAAATTTCAAATTTTAGAATTTTTTTTTCATTTTATTTAATTGCATTTATTTTTTTTTATGTTACTACTGCTCCATAAACCTTAAAAGGCAGTCGGAACATTCAGGGCTTCGCCCTGATACGAGCTGTCTTGTTTATTTTATTAGCACAATAAATATTTACCAACCCCTGATTCTAAAGTGGACCGAAATATGAAAGGATGAGTCAAAATTAGGGCTGAAGCAAGTTTTGTTTCTTACCTGCAGAGAAGTAGCAGAAAAACAGCAGCACCAGAAGCGGGCCAAAAATTCGTTGAGCCAAACATCTTGATCAAACTTACTATTTTATCAATAGGCAATATGATTCTTATTTCCCTGAAACTGCGGTGGGTATTCACAAGTACCAAAATGATAAATCAGTCCCATTCGTACCAAAATAAAAAATCAATTGCGTTAGTACCAAAAATATTCAATTGGCCTAAGACTATTAAGCCGACTACTTTAAGCTCTTGGTTTAAGGTCGCCGGTGGGCGTGCTACGCGCGCGTCGACGCTTCGCGGCAATAACCGGCTCTAATTTTTGTGTAGAGTCCTACCCTCTGTTGGCAAGCTCGCAACACGTTGGCGCGACTGCGGCGGTCACTATTCTGCTGTTTAGTTTTCTTCTGTTTGAACAGTAGAAAATTAATGTAATAATTCGTTGGCTCACAATTCGACCAATCAGAAATCGAGTTGAATAATTTTGGTACAAATGGGACCGATTTTTCATTTTGGTACAAATGACCGTTGGTAAAAATGGGACGTCACCGAAACTGCAAGTGTTTCTCAAATAAGTTAGATATCTATCTTGAGCACTGAATTATTTAATTCTCAAATACGCAGTTTCTTTTTTCAGACAAGCTGGAGAGGTGAGATCAGTTACATTAGAATTCTTTACAGTAGAAATAACTCTACCGAATAACAAAAAAAATGTTTTTTTTTGCTGAATTCAATATAAAGGGAAATAGGGTGATTGCTCATAAAAGGTGACAGGCAAATAAGGCTAAAGCCGTTAAAGCGACAAACGTTGTTGATGGGACTTTCAGCCGACAAAGTACATTTCTGAATAATTGAAAACGCGAAATGATTGTTTTAACACGCGAAATACATTTCTGAGAAACACTAAACGTAAAACGATTGTTTTGAATGCATTTCTGAGAAATAGAAGAAAGACATTTTAACACTTAAACACGCATCAACCTTTACTTTCCGTTTTTCGATCAAAATGAGGCCGAAAAAGAAAACATCGGCGGCTAAATGAGAAAATAAGGGCAAAAATTCTGGAATTTAGGCGCGGTTCGTTATCTGTAAGAAATTTTTGGGTTGGCATTGCTAGTATTAGTAGTAGTTTTGTATGCTAATACATTTTTGTCGTCTAAATGTCTTGTCGCCTTAATATCCTGTCGCCTTATTTGAACAATATATTTTGTCTGTTTCAACTGTTCGCAACTGTTTCAACTGTTCGCAACTGTTTCAACTGTTTGCAACTGTTTTAACTGTTCGCAACTAATCGTGGGTCTAGAGGATAACAAGCCGACGGGACATCAAGTCGAAGGGACTTCAAGCCGAAATTAAAACTTTACAAACACCTCAAAACACTATTTTATCATCTGTAAAACGTTGTTTTTCAAAAACTTTGGCAAGTTTAGTCCATAATACACGTTATTCATGACAATGCACTACTTCTGATCATCATCCACTAATAACATCAATCGATTTTCGAAATGCATAAATTATAAACATGAAAAATTATTTCAACCTTGTTTTACTTTTCAACTTTCCGAAACATCATTTGGAGGCTTAAATTTTATGAAAACGCCAATAACTTGTGAAGAAAGATCATGAAATTCAGAAATTCTTCAAAAAAATTTTCAAATTAATCATATTTTACGAGTTTAAAAGGAACTACTCGGCTTGAAGTCCTTAATTTTACGATTCGTCTTGAAGTCCCGTCGGCTTGATGTCCGGTATCCACTAATCGTAGGTCTTAATACTAATTTCTCAGAAATGTAGAGTTAATTACATGATGCATGGCTTTACTAGCAGATGATTTTGGGGTCTAGGACAACAGGCCGACTGGACTTCAAGCTGAAGGGACTTCAAGCCGAAATTAAAACTTTGCCAGCATCTCAAAACATTATTTTATTATCTGCAAAACGTTGCTTTTCAAAAATTTAGGCATGTTCAGTCCATAATAAGCGTTTTTCATGACAATGCAATACTTCTGATCGTCATCCGTTAATAACATCAATCGATTTTTGAAATGCATAAATTATAAACATGAAAAATGCCTTCAATCATGTTTTACTTTTCAACTTTCCGAAACATCATTTAGAGGCTTAAATTTTATGAAAACGCCAATAACTTGTGAAGAAAGATCATCAAATTCAAAAATTCTTCAAAAAAGTTTTCAAATTAACCATATTTCACGAATTTGTAAGGAACTACTCGGCTTGAAGTCCCTAATTTAACGATTCGGCTTGAAGTCCCGTCGGCTTGATGTCCGGTACCCACTAATCGTAGGTCTTAATACTAATTTCTCAAAAATGTAGAGTTAATTACATGATGCATGGCTTTACTAGCAGATGATTTAGGGGTCTAGGACAACAGTCCGACGAGTCTTCAAGCCGAAGGGACTTCAAGCCGAAATCAAAACTTTGCCAGCACCTCAAAACATTATTTTATTATCTGCAAAACGTTGCTTTTCAAAAATTTAGGCATGTTCAGTCCATAATAAGCGTTGTTCATGACAATGCAATACTTCTGATCGTCATCCGTTAATAACATCAATCGATTTTTGAAATGCATAAATTATAAACATGAAAAATGCCTTCAATCATGTTTTACTTTTCAACTTTCCGAAACATCATTTAGAGGCTTAAATTTTATGAAAACGCCAATAACTTGTGAAGAAAGATCATCAAATTCAAAAATTCTTCAAAAAAGTTTTCAAATTAACCATATTTCACGAATTTGTAAGGAACTACTCGGCTTGAAGTCCCTAATTTAACGATTCGGCTTGAAGTCCCGTCGGCTTGATGTCCGGTACCCACTAATCGTAGGTCTTAATACTAATTTCTCAGAAATGTAGAGTTAATTACATGATGCATGGCTTTACTAGCAGATGATTTAGGGGTCTAGGACAACAGTCCGACGAGTCTTCAAGCCGAAGGGACTTCAAGCCGAAATCAAAACTTTGCCAGCACCTCAAAACATTATTTTATTATCTGCAAAACGTTGCTTTTCAAAAATTTAGGCATGTTCAGTCCATAATAAGCGTTGTTCATGACAATGCAATACTTCTGATTGTCATCCGTTAATAACATCAATCGATTTTTGAAATGCATAAATTATAAACATGAAAAATGCCTTCAACCATGTTTTACTTTTCAACTTTCCGAAACATCATTTGGAGGCTTAAATTTTATAAAAACGCCAATAACTAAACAAGAAAGATCATGAAATTCAGAAACTCTTCAAAAAAGTTTTCAAATTACTCATATTTCACAACTTTATTAAGAACTAATCGGCTTGAAGTCCCTAATTTTACGATTCGGCTCGAAGTCCCGTCGGCCTGATGCCCGGCACCCGATAATTTTCAGCTTCTTGAACTTTATATTGCATGGTCGCCAGCCAATAAGCAGAGTGGTCAAAGAGCAGAATGGTTCTCAGAGCAGAAAAACAGAAAATTATTAACATTTATAAGATTATCGGTGAATAGAGTTTTAGAATTGTCAATAATACCTAGGAAACTAATATTTTTATCAGTACTAATTTAAGTAATTTGATTTAAATTGTAAAAAAAATTGAAGTGCAAAAACTTGATGAAATTAGTCAACCTGAATCATGTTAACTATTTCCCCCCATATTGCAATAGGGGGGGGGGGGGGAATAGTGGAATAGTTAACATGTTAACAAGGTACCAATTTCTTATATGCTTAGCCGTTCATTTCTTTCTTTGTAGGGGGGATTCGTTACAAGGTACCATATGAGAAGAAATAGTTAACAAGATCCTTCAACTCATTCATTCATTTTTTTGACATTTTTGACGATTCTAATAATTTCTTTATCAATTAGCCCGTTTAAGTATAAAAAGCTATTATTTTTCTGTTTTCCTGCTCTTGGACCCATTCTGCTCTTAGACCATTCTGCTTATTGCTCCACCTCCATATCACGGGCTAGGAACAGACAAATCAGAATATGAAATTACATTGGCCACAATTAGATTTGCGTGCAGATAACGAATCCCTCCTATAAAGAAACAAGACTGCTCGTATCAGGGCGAAGCCCTGAATGTTCCGACTCCCTATTAAGGTTTATGGAGCAGTAATAACATTAAAAAATTAAAAGTAATAAAACAAAATTAAATTTTTTTCTTCTAAAAGTTGAAATTTTTTGTGGAAATTATCACCCCACACGCCATATAAAGTACAAAAGGATAAATTTCGCTACTTGTAACAAATCAATTATGGCAAATAAGCTTCGGTAAACCAATTTGGAACAATTTCTAAGACGGATTAACTCTCCAATTACGCGTTAGTAGCGCGAAATATATCGCGCGTTAATTGGCCCAAATTAGCCAAAATGGCAATCTTTAAACCCGCATCAACCTTTACTTTCCGTTTTTCGATCAAAATGAGGCCGAAAAAGAAAACATCGGCAGCTAAATGAAAAAATAAGGGCTAAAACTCTGGAATTTAGGCGCGGTTCGTTATCTGTAAGAAATTTTTGGGTTGGCATTGCCTGTATTAGTAGTAGTTTTGTATGCTAATACATTTTTGTCGTCTAAATGTTTTGTCGCCTTAATATCCTGTCGCCTTATTTGAACAATATATTTTGTCTGTTTCAACTGTTCGCAACTGTTTCAACTGTTCGCAACTGTTTCAACTGTTCGCAACTGTTTTAACTGTTCGCAACTAATCGTGGGTCTAGGATAACAAGCCGACGGGACATCAAGTCGAAGGGACTTCAAGCTGAAATTAAAACTTTGCCAGCACCTCAAAACTTTATTTTATCATCTGTAAAACGTTGTTTTTCAAAAATTTTGGTAAGTTTAGTCCATAATAAACGTTATTCATGACAATGCACTACTTTTGATCATCATCCACTAATAACATCAATCGATTTTTGAAATGCATGAATTATAAACATGAAAAATTATTTCAACCATGTTTTACTTTTCAACTTTCCGAAACATCATTTGGAGGCTTAAATTTTATGAAAAAACGCCATTAACTTGTGAACAAAGATCATGAAATTCAGAAATTCTTCAAAAAAGTTTTCAAATTAATCATATTTTACGAGTTTAAAAGGAACTACTCGACTTGAAGTCCTTAATTTTACGATTCGGCTTGAAGTACCGTCGGCTTGATGTCCGGTACCCACTAATCGTAGGTCTTAATACTAATTTCTCAGAAATGTAGAGTTATTTACATGATGCATGGCTATGCTAGCAGATGATTTTGGGGTCTAGGACAACAGGCCGACGGGACTTCAAGCCGAAGGGACTTCAAACCGAAATTAAAACTTTGCCAGCACCTCAAAACTTTATTTTATTATCTGCAAAACGAAAAATGTAGGCATGTTCAGTCCATAATAAGCGTTGTTCATGACAATGCAATACTTCTGATCGTCATCCGTTAATAACATCAATCGATTTTTGAAATGCATAAATTATAAACATGAAAAATGCCTTCAACCATGTTTTACTTTTCAACTTTCCGAAACATCATTTGGAGGCTTAAATTTTATAATAACTAAAAAAGAAAGATCATGAAATTCAGAAATTCTTCAAAAAAGTTTTCAAATTACTCATATTTCACGACTTTATTAGGAACTAATCGGCTTGA